GAAACTGTCACAGGTTGGCTCAATAGATCGGGATGTGAGCGAACACATACCGTCACTCACTCACCTCTGGATCATCTCCCTGCAGTGAGCGGTGACTGTCAGTCACAGCTCCCCGCAGGGATTCCCCCCCTCCCCTCCCCTCTCCAATCCTCCAGCACTGAATGGACGGTGGAGGGGGCGGGCACAGCTGGCTCTGCCTCTAGATGGGTAGAGCCTGCTGTCAGCCAGCTGGGTGGATCTCGACAGCATTGTCGGGATCCGTCCTGGCGGCGGCACTCTCAGTATATAGTGAGCAATAGCCCACTATATACTGAGCTCTGGGTCATATAGGAGGTTAGTATATGTCCTCTTGTGACCCTAAAGAGAACTATGGGATACAAAGGTCACCCCATAGTTCTCTTTAAGTTTTAACAACAACTAGAAAGAAATCCCTTAGGAAATTTTTGTTTCTTAGCAATGGTCAAATCAGTGCGTTTTGTTGCCTAGCAAACCACAAGACTGAATCCCAGACTTGGCATCCGAAAAAAGCCATACAAAATGATTTATCAAAAAAATAAGTCTAATATTTAGTAATAAGCAGAACTGGAGATTTGCAGCGGCTTATAAAGTTGTTGGAGGGCATTTTCCACATTTCACTTTTAGGAGTGCTAAGTGCTACTCCAAAAAGAGAAGCTACTTTAGGATTAGGAGGATTTACTGAGGACTGCAGGCAATTTAAAAGTAAATTGTGTTTGTATGGAATCATTCACAAATATGGTTTTTAAACGCTAACTTCTGTTTTTGGTAATATTTCGGTTTGCCAAACATTTTGTGGCTTTGCATCTCCTCCTCGGCAAACGTTTTGGTCACATTATGTGGAAGGAACTTTCCCCTTCCTTCCCGATTGGACCAGTGTTGGGTTTAAATGCCAACTGTACTTTCATTTTTTTCTTTTTTTTAATTAGTTCCCCCTTCCAGCCTTATCTACAAAAATGGCCGCATGTTACTGACCTTTATAAACCAGGGCCCCATTCATTATTGAATTAAAACCCGAGCACAAAAATATATATCACAGCCTACCAGTTCTTGGATGTAGTGGCTGCAGTAGTTTTTTTTTTTTTAGACATGTTTTTACCTTTTGATGATCCTGCCATTAACAAACTTAGGACAGGACTACAGAACTCTTCTCCCTCTCTTCTCTGTAACACGGGATGGGGAGGGTTGTAGTGTAAAGAGAAAGCTGGGAACAATGTGAATGAAGCTAGCCATGCGCCAGTAGAATCATGTTTGAAAAATCGTTTTTTTTGAAAGTTCGAGCAGTTTTTCAATAGCTACTGGAGTCAAATCGACAATCGATTTTGACCGCAGTGCCGAAAATAATTTGAAACAGCAGCATGAAATTTTTTTTCTTGAACACCAAATTAAGTTTTTGTTTGAGAAATCCCATTCATTTCCAAAACCTGAATGTAAATGGGTAAGTTCACTTTTTCCAAAAATGTGAAAAAATTAACTTGCCGCCACCTCCCCGCTTTCCCTGGTCCCCGTTTTTGATGCCCCCCCACCATTTAGTGTAGCGATCCATACATTGCACACTAGATTTAACTGCCCCCCAGTCTGGAATATTCGTAATGCTTGCAAATAATGAGTGCTCTTTGGCCAGCATGATCATATGACTGTACTGACCAATGAGAAACTCTTCAGAACCAGGGACCTTGTCCCGGAAGTACTAGGGGCTTTTTACTGGTCAGCATGGTCACTTGCCCTCGCTGATCAATAAGAAACTCTTTAGAGCTGGGGACCGGGTCTCGGAGTAAGAAGGGCTTTTTGTTTTGGTCAGCACAGTCACCTGACCATGCTGACTAAAGCAAAACTCTTCAGGGCTAGGGGCCAGGTCCCGGAAGTACAACATTTTATTTTTTATTCGTCAGCCTGTTCACATGACCACGCTGACTAAAGCTGGGGACCAGGTCCCAGAAGTACAAAGGGTTTTTTTTTAAATTGGTCAGCATGTTCACATGACCACGCTGACCAATGAAAAACTCTTTGGAGCTGGAGACCAGGTCCCAGAACTACAAAGGACGTTTTAGATTTTTAGCACTCACCGGCTAAAATCTTGTCTTGATTTGTATTGTAACTGTACTGTACATTTTGTAGAGCACTGTGCAAACTGTTGGCACTATTTAAATCCTGTGTAATAATAATAATTGGTCAGAGCAGTCACATGACCGCGCTGACCAATGAGAAACTCTTCAGAACCAGGGTCCAGGTCCTAAAGTAAGAAGGTCAGGTAGGTGGTAAAAATGCGGCTCAACTGCCCCCCTCGCCACCTAACTTTGGTCCTGATTTCAGGGGCTCGTTGAAAGCTGGCGTGCTGATTAGACTGGAGTCCTTTAAAAATCACCTGAAGGTGAAAAACCTCCTTTTATCTTATAAACGTTTCACTTCCACCTTAACGGTCATCGGAGTTTAAGAGAGACGCCATTATCTCCACACGGTGGCATTTGCCAGGCTCCATTATACGTGATTTCATCTGTCATACGGATATATTTATTTATCCATTTAGACTTCCTCACTCCGATTCAAATCAGTAGTGACACGTACAATCTAAACCTCGTTATGTGGTTAACCAGTAATGTAATCTCCGCTGAGCAAATTACATTTTTGTCCTACATGTTATCAAATGAGGCCGAGGATTTGAATGCCCTGCCATTGCTGCTTCCATCCACCTTTCATTCAGAAGGACAGCCGAGCAATGGATGATGAAAGCGCTTCCGAAGTCTTTCATTCCGGGGAGGGATTGACAAGACAAAGGAAAAGTTATACTGTTGCCATTGTTTGTGTTTATGAGGACTGCGATTCTGCACAGATCGTTACAAACCATGTTTCAGCTCACGAGATTATAATACAATAAGCGCATCAGACGGACGAGGCGGTAATTGGGAAGGACATCCATTGTGCTGCCTGTCTGTAAACCAATTAGACGGCGCTGAACAAGCAACGCAGGTAAAGCGGAGGTCAGGTGCTCCGGGGAAGTGATACAGTGTATCTCACATAAAGGGGAACAATGAACTCTTATTTGATCGATTTCGGTCTGTTAAGTAATTGGAAGTGATTCAAGTTCATGTAAAAAATACCTCATGATCCTGCCAGAAATCATGTCAGCTGATAACTTCCTGTGCTTCAGTCTTATCAGTTGCATTGTTTTCAATTATCCCTGAGGAATATAGAATCGCTGCCCGCTGTGCTATGGAGAAGAGGAAGGGGGCGTTCTGAGGACCTGTTTCTGTTCAAAGAAACTGCACACCACAGCGCTGAGCGAGAGTGAGAGAGTTTTTATACAACCAATCGATTCGTTGAAAAAAATTATCGGGTAACTAATCGATTATAATCGAAAATAATCGTTAGTTGCAGCACTACTCAGCAGACTCCCAATGAAATGTTCTCCAACATCAATCATAGGAAGGCTGCTATCTTCAAGGCCATTGGGAAGGTTGGGAAGTTTCCTCACATGATATGTAAAACAAAAAAATAGACAGCGCCTTCTCGTATAATACCGTTTATAAAAGGAGAGATAACAAATGACATGAAAAACTACTCGCATAAACAATCTCTCCGGATGGAGGAATGATTCAAAGCAGGTCCCAACAAAGGCCACCTAAATTGGCTGGCGTGTTTCGGGGGATATTCCCCCTTCCTCAGAGCTAACATATTGTGAGATAACACACAAATAAATAGGGTGGATGAATGTCATGTGACTACAACCTAGGGCCAATCAATCAAACGCAGCTGATCATCCTAACCGTATCTATGATGATCCAATCAGAAAGAAGTCCGCAGTATGTAATGTCATGACCCCAGTCCTGTTTCTGTTGTCCTGATGCAGTACAGCGAGTGAGAGTTGTCACCCTAGGATAGGAAGTGTGTTACTGGCCAGGCTGAAATAAAGGGGGGGGAAAAAAACAAACTAGAGCGAACGAATGAAGCCGCTACATCTAAGGTTTAGCAAGTTGCAAAATATAACCTTTTCGGTTTTGGGCTTAGACTTTTAAGAGTCACAGATTGTCCCTCGATTTGAAGCTTGGCTCAAGCCAAAACGTTTCCGTTTTGGGATGGGTAAGAACTTGTGTTTGCATTGCTTATGGTCATCGGTAATGAGCTTTCCCCTTCATTCCTGTCTTGATGACACCTCTCACAGGACAGGAAGCAAAAGGAAATGTAATATATACATAATTAATATGAAATTCAGTAGCCAGTCTATCCAATCCTGGAGCCAGGAGGTTTTATTTTTTCACACACACACTATGGAATTCAGGAGCCAGTCTATCCAGTCCAGGAGTCAGCAGAATTTTTTTTAAGGAGCCTGCTCCATTGATGACAAGTAGAGAAAACCCTCAAAAGTTGGGCGCCAGCTGTAATTTTTAAGGAGCATTGGCGACCTGGCTTCTGTTTCCTGTCACTTTCTAAACTGACCAATCAAAACGCATGTATGAATGGTTACCAAGTCCAAACGTCCACTGTGAAGGCAAGTCCACTAAAGCCACAAATATTTTCCTCCCCTTCCCAACCCTGAAATAAAAGGTGCCTTTTTTGGGAATTTTAGGACAGATGACTCATTAATGGCCACAGTACTTCCAGCGTCTCAAAACGAGACAAACGAGCCTGTCGCCGGCTAAATCGCAGCAAGATTGATTTGTTTGGCCCTTCGAATGAAGGGAAATAAATGAAAACAAAACACGGGCTAATGTAGTTTAATTTGCTGATTTAATTACCCGGGTCCGTAACATACAGAGCATTTCATGTATCCTCATAATGCCTTTGTAATTGGCTTGTTTTGCCGAAGCTGGAAAAAAAAAAGAAGAAAAGCTTTTGCTATTTCCTAAAGTGCTTTTGTCTAACAGCGGATCATTTTCCCCCCCACGATCCAGAATAATTGTCAGGCTGCTTTTTGCTGACTTCAGTACCGCCATGTGCTGATTCGATTGCCTTCATTTTTCTCTCCTTTTTTTTTGTCATCTTAACAGAAACCTGAGCCACAACAAGCTGAAGGAGATCGATCCGGCCGCCTTTGTGGAGCTGCTGGGGCTACGGGAAGTGTGAGTATTTTTCTGAAGCTCTCGCTTGCGCTTTTTTACATTTTTTTAAAGAGGTGATTTCTGGGACTTCAGCTGCGAATCCGAAACGCGACACCCAGTCCCCGGACGCCGGCTTCTCTCGGTTCATTTACATCAGCACATTGCCTTTTTTTTCTCTTAAATGTGCATTTGTGTGTATTGTATAGAGATCATTATAACTGCTACTCTTTCTGTATCAATTAGACAATGAGCAGTTTCGGTGATTGCAGGATCAGAGTTTGCTTTCTTAAAGCGCACTCCAGGCAGGCGGCCACAAATCTCAAATATATATCTGAACTGCTTAACCCAGGGATGGCCAAACTGCGGCCCTCCAGCTGTGGTGGAACTACAAATGCCATGAGACTTTGCAAGATTCTCACAGCCACAGGCATGACTCCTGCAGAGAGATGCTTCATGGGATTTGTAGTTTCACCACAGCTGGAGGGCCGGAGTTTGGCCATCCCTGGCTTAACCTGACGAAGTCTTTGTCATATTGTTCAGGCACCTGAATATAGCCAGGTTGTGGACTTCTCTGCATACTATATTGCAGATCCAGGACCCACCCCCAGCTTGCTATTGGCCAAAGTAGGAGCAGCAGCACACTAAGGCAGTCTTCCCATTGCTCTCTGTGCACTGCTCAAAGCAATGAAACCCTTACTGGCTTACAGAGCTCACCCTCCCTCTTCCAGTCTGTGCAGGGGAATATAGGCAGCTTTATGTAAACTACATTGAATTATTATTTTTTTAGAACCCATTCACACTTGTGTGCATTTTTTTCTGTGCTGCGCCATTTATTTTCAGTATTTGATTTAATTATTCATAACAGGTGTTTATATAGTACTGACAGATGACATAGTACTTTTCCTACTACCTGCATTCAAGGAGCTTGCAATTTAGGGTCCCTATCTCACATTCATACATACGAGGGCCAATTTAGACAGGAGCCAATTAACCTCCCAGCATGTCTGTGTAGTGTTGGAGCAAACCAACGCAAGCACAGGGAGAACATGCAATAGGCCCACAACACGTATCTACGGGCCAAAAATGCACTTGCCTAATTTTTTCTTTCAGTGCACCCCCAAGGTAGCACATGTATTCTTGATTACATGCATTGCAATGTGCTAAGGGGTAGGTGTGTTTGTTCCATGTATGCACACTGAGGTGCAATAAAAAAAAAAATGGCAACCCACCACATTCACATCAGTACCTACATTCACATCAGTACCTGCATTCAAGGAGCTTGCAATCTAGGCTCCTTATCTCACATGCTCACATACTAGGGCCAATTTAGACAGGAGCCAGTTATCCTTCCAGCATGTTTTTGGTGTTTTGGAGCAAACCAATGCAAGCACAGGGAGAACATGCAATAGGCCTACAGAGCACATCCGTGGGCCAAAAACGCATTTGCCTAATTTTTTTTCCAGTGCACGCTAAGGTAACACATGTATTCTTGGGTACATGCATTGCAATATGCTAAGGGGGTAGGTGTGTTTGTTTACTCCCATGTATGCACACTGAGCTGCAAAAAATTAAATGACACCAGCGCACCACAACACCGTGTTGTCCTAGTGTGCATATTAATACATGGAAACACACACATAGGTGTGAAGGGGCACAACTGGATTAAATGTTTTTTTAAATTTAGTGTGTGTGTTTTGGGTATATAAAATCTTCATAAATCCTTAATACTGTGCTCTGGCATGAACCCCTCTTGCCCACCCCCTGTCTGTCCCTCTCTAGCCAATCACTGCAGCAGTTATGACTCCATAAGGTGCCTAAATTGTGGTCACGTAATGCCCCAGGTCCCAAGTCTTCCATCTTCTGGTCCATAAAGTGACAAGTGACCAAAGAGTTCTTCGGTTGCTCACGCATTGGCAAACTAAGTCACTGGAACACACAAAGGTGGGCAGGATCACTGAAAACTCCAAGGTAGAGCTGTACGGAGTCAGGAACTATGGCAAGACATGTTGGAAGGCCAGCGATGGACAAATCCCAGGAGCCAGGTCTCCAGTGCTCCTTTAAATTTACAGCTGGTGCCTAACTTTTGAGGTTTCCTTTGGTTATTTTCAATGGAGCCACTCCACTTCAAATGGCTCCTGAATTCCATATTGATTTGTCTTCCCTGAGGAAGCCATAACCTGGCTCTGTTTAAATATCACTTTTTGGTGGACTGACCCTTTAAGGAATTTGCCTATAAACTTTTCTTTATGTGTTTGTCATGACTCTATGAGGCTTGTGTAGGTGTCCCGCTGAGGCTAAGCTGTCATGGCCGACTACTCTTGCAATTTGAGAACACGTAAATTAGGAAAACGGTTTGTTGCGGAGTTCCAAATGACTTAAACACAATCTTTAGATTTCACTGTATAGCTGACGTTGAAGTCAATCCTAAATCAGATTGGCATTAAATCCCGGGAATGAAGTGTCCCCGGTTTTCTAATGGAAGTAGCAGAAAAGCCTCCAGCTCCCTGCCATGGAGTTTTCCTGTTTGTCACTTTCTCTAGTGACAAACATATATTACAGCAATGTGCCTTGTGACTTTATGTGCCCTCTAAATTGTACGTATGCAGAATATTAGATATCACGATTATGGTCCCTTCATATATTACTGCATGCTTCTCTTTTCTAATGTTTCAAGGAAAGGCTCAGAATTCTTCTTTTATTTTTAACTGTTTTCATCTGTAGTCTGTAGAATGTGGTTTCCCTGCTTAATGCATTCTGCAGATGAAATGTTAATCTACTCTCCATGATATAGGTAGGATCACACAGATCTGCGTTCACCTAGCTGTGTGACCATGCTGTCACTGACAGCTTCGGGTCTCCACTAACTATGACTACCCAACATTTTCTGATGGATTAGAGGTTAATTTTTAGTCAGAACCCCCTGCCTTCAGTCTTGCTCAGTTGTATAGGCTTCTCGGCTGTGCTGAAATAGCTTACTCTGATTTCACTGCACTAGAGCTGCAGCTAACGATTATTTTCAAAATCGATTAGTTAGCCGATTATTAAGTTCGATTAATCAGTTAATCGGATAAACAATAAAATAAAGTTTAAAAAATGGCTCCAGTGATGGACTACTAGTTTGTATTGAGGTTGTAGTCCATCACAGGAGCAAGCTTAGAGCGGTGGAAGTAAAAAAGAAAAAAAAGATAGTGTGGTGTGCAATATAGTGAATTGGAAAGTGTAAAATTATACAGCAATGAATGCAGAATGGCACCGGCTATAGAGGACTACAAATCCCAGCAAAAGCACATTATACAGCGCAATGCAGAACACCGCCAGCTATAGAGGAATACAACAATTTCCAGCAATAGTACACAATAGCTGGCGGCATTCTGCATTGCGCTGTATAATGTACTATTGCTGGGTTTTGTATTCCTCTATAGCTGGTGGTATTCTGCATTGCGCTGTATAATGTATTATTGCTGGGACTTGTAGTCCTCTATACAGCGCAATGCAGAATATCACCAGCTATAGAGGAGTACAACAAATCCCAGCAATACATTATACATACAGTGTATAATGCATTGCTGGTATTTGTATTCCTATGTATAATGTACAGTACAATGTACCAGAGAAATACAAATCCCAGCAATACATTATAGAGCACCATGTGTGGGAAAGTGCAGGCTTACCTGAGCAGTCTTCCAGCAACTTGCTTCTGAGATTGGACCTGTCTATCAGCTGCTGTCATCCCCCCACACCTGCTCCTCCTTACTACATCTCCCCGCGTGCCTTGCCAATCGTGGATGGGCAGGAAATGTGAGGCGGGGAGGAGGTGCGGCGTGTGGAGCGTGGATGCGAGCGGGTCTGGCAGCGGCGAGCGTGAGGTGGGGAGGAGGTGCGGCACACAGTGTGTGGAGCTGTGAACAGGGCCAACCGATCGGAAGCCGATTAATCGATTATTGAAAAAGTTGACAACTTTTTCAATAATCGATTATAATCGATTATGTCGATTAGTTGTTGCAGCCCTACACTGCACACAGTGAGCTTCTCACAATGTGCATTAGAAGCTGCAGCAGGTCAGATAGAGCCCGTCTCATTTCCTGGCTGGGGGTTGCCCAGCATTCAATTTCCAAAGATACACAAAGTATAAGGGTGTACTTGTACTAGGCAAGGTTGTCTTGCACCGTGCCTGAGCAGGCTTGTTCTCACCCCTCACCTCCCTCGACTAGTGCTGGACTAGAGCACGCTTCCTGTGCTCACATTATGCCGGGCCCGAGCATGCTTACCTCATCTGTACCCTTGCTATCTACATGGACACAAATGGATATAATCTGCTCCACTTTTCCCATTCCATGCTCGGGCATGGTTAGCCATATACACCAAGCCGGGGTCCAAATGAATTGACCCCCAAACCACCTCTTTCAAGTGGGCCAGGGCACATTATGGAGAGACTGCCAACTGAACTAGGGTTCAAACTTGCTCAGTGCATACACCCTAGTGTGAGTTCACCCTAAATGTTCAACGTAATATCCTAGAGATATAATAAAAATCCAGCATATCCGTTGTGATATCCATTCAACACATTTCTTGGAGCAAAGTCCTTTTCAAGGATGTATATATGCAGGTAAATATGAATAATCTCTTCACATGAACACACATGTGGACAGGGCTGTGGGGTTGTATTGAAATCAATGGCACCGCAGCCATGCCCCCCGCCCACAATGCAATCGCCCGCACCCGGAACACAGGCACATTAGTGCCTGCATTCCGGTCCAGTGCGATCTGCAAAAATAGTGCTTGCAGCATTTTTGTGGATCACACTGGACTGGAACGCAGGCACTAATGTGCCTGGGTTCCGGGTGCAGGCGACGCACTGTGGGCGAGGGGCCTGGCTGCGGTGCCATTGACTTCAATGCACCGCCACGCCCCCTCCCGCCCCTGAATGCAGGTGTTTTTTCGTTGGCAGATCTCATTGAGCTCGTCATTTGAAAAGTAGATCTCCAGACAAATTGTGGGCGCCCCTGATGTACATGCATACA